ATATAATTCACATTGTCGAGTTAATTCATTATATTTTGTTGATGTTGATATTGTTTTATTTTTCATTGACGAATATATAGAAGATTTTTTTTCAAAAAATAATGTTGGTAAAAGACATATGGCTAATGACACAGACCATGCAATACAGATATTAGTTAATGCCAATGAAATTGAATGACGATGACGACGATAATGTATTGGATAATTTGTTGCTATATATCGATCAAATGCAATCATTAAAAGACTCTAAAATATAAAATGAAAAAAGACTTTTTTTTTTTTGTTTCATAAATGAAATTTACCCAAATAGATGCTGTTGAACATAAAACATCAATAACTAACCATATTTCACAAAGAATTTTTCCAAAATACCATATTCCAAATGTTGAATATGATGCTGAAAATGGTAAAACAGCAATACCTAATAAAAGATCACTTGTTGCTAAATTAATAATTAAATAATTTGACATTCCACCTTGTCGAATTTTTTTATCAATAATAAATGCAATAATAACTAAGATATTTCCCAATATAGTCCAAATTGTTATTGTAAAAAGTATTATTCCAATTAATAATGAAGTTAACATTGATGATGAATCGTAAAAAGAAATAAATTTTGTATCATTAGTTACAAGCATTAATAAATTGTTGATAGAAGGAGAAAAAGAAAATCTATATGAACAACTGTTATTGCTCTTGTCGTCGTTATCGTTGTTGATTGAATCAAAAAGAACTAGATAGAAGAACTAGAAGAAGAGTCGTATTTTACATGTGTTATTGAGTTAAATAAAGAAGAAAAAGAAAAGATCAGTTCAATCATCACATACGAAGAAAATTTGTTCTTTTTTTTTATATTCTGTAAAATTTTTTTTGTTTTGAATTTATAAATAATATTTTATTTGAACTATAGAAATAAATAATAATTCTATAACTTATATAATCTCATAATATTCAAATAAAAGTGATACTTACTACTCTGTTTTTTTTATTAATTAGGAAATATGCTTAATATATCAATGTTATTCGAAAATTTTTTATCAATTCTCTTGAGTTATTAGTATTTAGAATAAAACTAGAATGCGTTATAATAACGTCTTTCATCAGTGATATTCAACAGTTGGTTATTGACACTTCCCTTTTTTTTCATTTATTCAGTTAGATGCTATTTTTTTTACTAGTGCTAGTTTGTGCTTTTGTCTATTTGTACTTGTTTTTTCAACTGGAAACAATCTAATCGACCCTGACAGTCCTACTCAACTAGAAAAAGGAACTCAGTTAGAAACAATAACAATAGATAGATAGAGAGAGAAAATGTCGTTTTAGCAAATAAAAGTGTCGCAAATAAAATAAAACAGAACACGCATATAATACTGATGAGCCGAAAGAAAAACCAATTGCTTAGGGCTATCCAAAATTAGTAGCAGTGATACTTTAATACCTTTTAAAAAGCTTCAGGAAACTTTTTCTCTATATGAACTAATAGAAAAAATGACGCTCGATTTTCTCTATCATATGTGATGGTTATATTAATGCTTATTTTGAAAAAAGATGAAGTGAATATTTTTTTAATAACTTCTGATAGAAACAAGATAGAGTGCTGTGATTTTCATCGCTCGAAAGAGAAGACAAAGATCTATCGAATCTAAATTATAAATTTTCCTATTATGTGATTTCAAGTTTGTTTAATCAATTTTTTAAGTGTGGAAAAAATGTTTTTTTTTATGAAAAAGGAAATAGCAATAAAAAAGCTTTTTTCACAGGAATGGCTTGAACAATCGCTTAGAGCTTCAACTAGAGCCCATCGGACCCAAAAATTTCTGAACCTAGACCTCGTCGACTCAAAATTTTTAGACTCAAACTCGACCAGAGCCGATCCGGATCTGATGATCTCTAGCTTTGACTAGAATACCTATAAATCCTGACTGATTAATCCTAGCACTACCAGTCCTGTTTTAGAGATAATATATATTTTAATTGTGTGATTTTTAATTATTAAATAGATATTTTTGTCAAAGTTGTACTATTTTCCTATTCGATCTTGTAAATAAATTATTAGAATCATAACTTTTCTTTATTTAGAACAAATAATGTAAAAAAAATTCGTTTAACAGAACGCTTATCTCATATAAAGGTTCAAAACATTGATAAAATTTATTTCGAGTTTTCTTTTGTCTTTGGAAGGATCATAAAGCAGACAGCATTTTCATTTTGATCGTGTAGAGTTTTCATTCACTTAATTCTTCCAATGGTTGCTGCATTGTAGAATAATCAACAACGACTAGTGTATTTTGAATATCCTTATGTAAAAATTTCGTGATTTTCAAGCAAAAATCAAGAAGATAAGCGATTCAGCTTGTTCCTAATTCTTCAAGGAATAAGAAAGAAGTTTATCTTTATTTTTAAGGTTTATTACGAGCATTTAATATAATTTTATATTCTGTTCAAACAACAAAGAATAATAGAAAGAGATGCAATCCGATGTCTAATGGATCATCTACTATACTAGTTGGATAGTCTCAATCCACGACAAAAACTTATTTCGATTAGGTTGGAGCTAAATCCAATTAGATTAGTAATGATTCATAGCATTGTGGACTAACAATTGAACTAATTTCACATTTCTCTTACCTTGTTATAATTGTGTTAGCTGTTCAAGATATAAAGTCATATCAAGCACTCTAGTTAACACAAAAAACAAAGATAAATTTCCTTTTCTTTCTAATTAACTTTAAATTTTAAACGGTAAAAAAAAGCGAAATATTTTTGGCAGCTGAAAAAATACCAAGATATTTTCGTTAAATTTCTATTTCCTACAGAGGGATCCAAATGAATTCCTGTTGATAGTACTAGGATTAATTCTAAACATCTGAAAATTGTGCATTTTTGTAGATCTGTCATGGACAATTTGAAAATTTGCTGTGAACACCTCACGGTATAAGTTTGTTTTAAAAGAGATCGATTAGAACCCTTTAAAAAATCATGTTAACAAGAAACCGACATACGATTCGATGCATTTTTGTTTTCTCTTTTGAACGATGAAAACCGCAACTCTCTATCTCTTTTTCATGAGAAATTATTCAAAAAATATCCATTCCACCTTTTTTTTTTAAATAGGCATTATTACAACCGTCACATATGATAGGAAAAACCGAGTGTTATTTTTACTATCAATTCATATTAGAGAAAAAATTTCTTGAAACTTTTTCTAAGGAATTAAAGTACCGCTGCGATTAATTTTTTGGATAGACCTAAGTAGAATGACAAGAAATTAGTCTATTGTCATTTTTGATAAACTTCTAGAATAATATTATTATTAAATTAATATATGAAGACATGTCGTTATTAATCTGAAAAGATTGTATATAATAACTATCAAAATGAATCATATAACAAAAATTCAATTATAAATTCTTTTGAGATTATTTAAATAAATGAATAAATAAAAGTCAAGATCAATTATTTTCTTTTTTTTTTTTGTTTTTGAAAACAAATAAAATTCTTTTCATATGTTTTAAATAATTTTTATAGATTTTTTTGTTTTAAATTAAAATTTGTTTAGGTTTTAATGAATCTCATGATGCTTTTATCAAACATATTGAAAATGAATTATCAAAAACAAAAGGAAACCAACTTATATTAATTAGTCTTGTTGATGAATGGGGAAAAGAAAATATACTTAGTGATGCTTTTTATGAACATATTACAAAATATAATAGTCCACATTTATCATATATTACATTTGATTTTCATGAATATTGGTAATTTTATTCTTTATTTTATTTCTATCATTTTATTTTATATTTAGCAAAGGTCTTCAATTTGGAAATGTCTTAATACTTTTACAATTACTTGATGAAAAATATCTTTTACGAGAAATGCGTTTTTGTTGGTTAGTTTTATTTTATTTATTATTTTATTATTTATTAAATAAACTCAATAGGATAAATACAGAAACAAATACGATGCTTAGTGAACAAACAAGTGTATTTCGTATTAATTGTGTTGATTGTCTTGATCGAACAAATGTTGTTCAAGCAGCTATTGCAAAGACTATTTTAGAAATAATGGTATGCTTCATAGTTTTCCTTTTTTCTTTCAAATTTCATTCAATTTTTTTTTTAGTTAAAAAAAGTTGGTTTATTAGATTTTGACGAAGGTGGTCTTAATGGTCATGCAAAAAGAATTTTTCAAACAATGTGGGCAGATAATGGTGATGCTATTAGTAGACAATATGCCGGAACTGATGCGATGAAGGTAAGACAATCGAATGAATAAAAATTAGATACTCGACTCTATCGTACATTATCATAACTCAACCTATCATTTTTATGGCTGTTTTTGCTTTTGTACTCAACAAAAAACGTCTCTATAGTTTGTCACTCATTAATTATATCAAAGCAAAAAAAACCATGTTTTTTTATTGATAATAGTCTAGCTTTTAATTGAATGATGATAAAAGGCGCACATGAGTATTAGCTGCACCAAGATTGAGATGAAATTGCCATGGAAATGGACATCTATTGATGTCAATCGACATTTGCATAACACGATTTGTTCGTTCATTTTTCAGCTCAATCATTCGTTGATCACAGTTAATTAACAATATAATAGTATCGTTCCGACTAGCATCACTGCTTTGCTCATAGCGACACTGACCACCGGCATAGATTTGATTTTGAGTGGCCCAACCATAGTTTGACGGCGAAGAATATGAAAATACCTTCATAGGTTCTGATTGTGAGATGATTCCAAAAAAGATCCATCCATTTAAAGTGAATTGCTCGATTCGAAAACAAAGAATGTGCTGTCCAGATATATATTCTTTTTTTCCACGTATTTCTCTATGGTCATCCATGCCATCTTTAACAACAAGACAGCCATTCTCTTTTATTTGAGCATTACCACAAACACGTTCGAACACATCAGGTGTATCTTCACAGTCGATACAAATCTTAGTAATTAGTGGTGTAGAATCTTCTTGAATAGCAATTCTCGTTGGATTATGAAGTTCTTTTTTTTAGTTCTTCTAATTTTTGGGTCCATTGTTGTAGATCAGTCTCAATAAAGTCATTATCTTCTTGACCTTGTCGTAATTCATTAGATAAATTTTTTAGTTTTTGTTTAATATTAGTTGTATGTTCAATAGTAGTTTTGAGTAATTTATTTCTAGCATCTTCTGCTGCTTGACGAATTTTGACGATAGATTCTTGTTCCCATTGATTAATTTTCTTTAATAGAGGATGTTGTTGAGGATCTTCGATTTGTTGAATAAGAGTTTGTTGTATAAGATCATGTGCTACAACAATTTCTTCTAATTGTTTACTCAATTCATTTCGATGATCATTTGAATGTTTTGGACAAAACATTCGTGAACATCCTTCACATTTGAAGCTTCCTTTTCCTTTATTACATACAACACACAAGAGTTTGGGATGATACTGTTGATGATGCCATGTGAAGTGTTATGACAATGACTGGTGAAATAAAAGCAGAAAAAAAAGGAAACAATAAAATTCCCAACGAACACCGTTCTTTTGTCAACAAATAAATCAATAATAAAGCACGTTGACGATGAAAAGTGCATGTTATTCTGAGTAAAGTAGTCAATGCAACTGATAAGGAGGAAAAAAATATTTCTATGTGTTTCATATTAGAATGAAAAAAAATAAAGTTTCGTATGAAAATAAATATAAAACACAAGTATTATCGTCAAGAAAGTGTTTATATTATTTTGAAATTGGAATTAAAATAAAAGTGATTAACATATCAGTTATAATAATACGATAAATGTCGACAGAAATTTTTCATTAGATAACTGAATAAAGAAACAAATAAATATGAACAAAATTCTTACCTAATAGTACCGAGGTAAAATATGCGCTTTTTTAAATGGATTTGCAGTTGGTCTAATTTCATTAGTCTCATTATTGTCCTTCGTAGAACTAGATTAATTAATATCTAGAGAAAAGAACCTCTTTGACATAAACAAACAATAATTGAAATCTGTTGTAATCAAAAGATGATTTGATTATTTGCATTTTATCTTGATGAAATGACTTCTCTTCATCGTACATTGCTTATTTTGTTTATCAGTGGAAAAATAAAGCTTTTTTTGTTGAAGCCAATAGTGACACTTAAAAAAAAATTCCCTCTAGTCTTGTTTTTTTTATGGAGATGCAGTGTGAACATGCTTTTATGGTTGTGAAAAAGAGATCAGTCCGTTTGCTTGAGCCTAATCAAAGATATTCGATTGTTTCTCAGTACAGTGACTTTTGAATTACGTATTTTAACCTTTTGTCATTTAAAATAATTATTGTCTAACATAATTTTGTTAAAATAATTAGTTATAAATTAAAATAAGATGTAAAAACATGGTTTGGTACGCAAATTTCAGTTTAAAAGTTATTCGAATAATTAAATGGTTGAAAAGAAATAAAGCAAGATAAGTCTTTTAAGATGCATATCAAATGTAATATCTCTTTTTTTTTCATATGAGAATGACGAGATTATATATTAAATTATTATCTAACGATAAAAAATTTGTATTTGATTTCTTCTGTAAAATATTTACCGAATATTTATGGTGACAATTGTTGGATTGATAGGATCGTAATGGAAGATAATTATTCAAATATTTTATTTTATAAAAAAATGATCAAACTATATCAGTCTGAGTAAAAACAATCGATAAGTTGTTTTTATACTCAAAAAGATCAATCATCATTATGTCAATAGAAAAAAATTAGAAAACTTATAAACAATGAAAAGTGTTCGAGTTTCGATGAGAACAAGGATAATAGTTTATTTTCTTTAAAAATATTTTTTGTTGCATTTGTATGAAGACAAACGAAAGTTGAAAGTTCGCAAAAATTTTGAAGAAAATCGATCGAGTCTTAATTCGAAGAATTTAGAATTCGTACATGAGTATTAGGTGCATGAAGATTGAGATGTAGTTGCCATGGAAATGGACATTTTTTGATATCAACCAATAGCTCTCTTGTACGATTCAACCGATTATTTTGTAGTAGAATCTTTTTTTGATCACAATCAATCAATAGGATAATAGTATCATTTTCGAAAATTTCGGTATTTTCGTCGTATTCTTCATCATCACCACCGATATAGATTTGATTTTTGCTTGACCAGCCATAACTTGATGGCGAATAAAATGAATCATATTGCATAGGTTCTGATTTGGAGATAATTCCAAAAAAGATCCATCCACTTGAAGCTAATTGTTCGATTCGAAAATAAAATTTATGTTTTCCAATATTATATTGATTTTTTCCACGTATTTCTGTGTGTCCAGTTGAATCATCTTTGAGAATAAGACAACCATTTTCTTCAATTTGAGCATTACCACAAACACGTTCGAATACATCAGATATTGGCCTATTCAACTTAAAGAGCAGAAAAATTCTTGCACAAAAAACAATTGAACTTATTCATTCGGATCCCTTTTTTAGTCGTTTATAAATATCATTTGTTTTGAATAATAGCGAAATAAATCATAGTCGTCATTCAAAATGAAGTCTTTTTTTTGTACAGGAAACAGACGAAATGGCCTTATTGTTTTTTTTTTCTCACATATTAGTGAGATAGGAACCTGTGGATCCACGTTTTCATGAACCCGAGGATCCAGTCGGATCCAAACTCGAGGTTTTTTTTATGAATACCTGGCACCCTTCGTGTACATGAACAAGTGAAGGATCAACGTTTCGGCTATTTATTCGCTACTCTCAGAAAAAGCTCAACGTACAGTTATATCTTGTTGCTGGATTTCTCATCTGGAGAGTAATAGGCCCGCAAAAAGATGTAACCGCATCCAACAAAAAATAAAACTTTGGACTGAGGAAAGTTCATCCGAGTTTGGAAGGATCTGCAGCTTCCTATAGTGAAGTCTGTTGTCTTAGCTACAAACACAAATGAAAATGAATGTAACACCAGAATTTTCTATTCTCGTCAAATCGTCACAATTTAACAAAATGAAATGAAAATTTCTGCTAAACTAGAAATTGCATCATATAGTTCTCTTGCAATATAAGTTTCAGCTCTTTATCATATTAAGTTGCTAAGTTAAGACCATCTGAATGTCAAAAATGGATAAGTGCGCGTTACCTGTGGATGCATTGATGTATCTTGATAGTCGATGCGAATCTTGGTAACAAGTGGTATAGAATCTTGTTGAATAGAAACATTGATTGGATTATGAAGTTCTATTTTTAGTTCTTCTAATTTTTGTGTCCATTGTTGTAACTCACTTTCACTAAAATCATTATTCTCTCGACCTTCCTTTATATCGTTAAATATCAATTGCAAATTTTTTTTCACTTGATTTGTGTGGTGAGCAGTATATTTGAGCAATTCATTTCTGGCTTCTTCAGCTGCTTGACGAATTTTAACAATAGATTCTTGTTCCCATTGATCAATTGTTTTTAGTAGAAGATGTTGCTTAGAGCCTTCTGTCTGTTGAATAAGTATTTGTTGAACAAGATCATGTGTTACTTCGATTTGTTCTAATTGTTTACCAAGTTCATTTCTATGATCAATTGAATGTTTCGGACAAAAAATTCTTGAACATCCTTCACATTTGAAAATTCCTTTGCTTTTATTACATATAATACATAAAACTTTATTTGATTCAATTATTGATGCCATACGGAGTAGGACGATGATATCTAGTGAAATAAAGTGAGAATGAAGTAAACAATAAAATTTCCAACATACACCTTTTTTATGTCAATAAACAATAAAATAGTAAAGGAAGCTGATGATGAAACTTATGTGTTGTTCGAAGTAAAGTAACAAAAATCAATTTTATAAATTTCGCCATCTAACGAAAGAATCTTGGTAATACTACATTAGCTTGGAACACAATTAAATTGTGTATAAAAATACTATAAAAAACACGAATATTAATTTCAAGAAAGTGTTTATAATTATTTTGAAATTCGAATTAAAATAAAAGTGCATAGTGTATTGCTCATGATAATATGACTAATGCTGATGGAACTTTTTCATTTCATAAAAAGAAGAAAGAAATGAATGAATGAATACAAACGAAACTCGTAGTTAATAATACAAACGTGAAATTAATAGAGAATTTGTATTTATTCTACCTTTATTAGTCTTCTTATATAATAGTTATATTTTTGTTCTTCTAGTCAACTGACGAAATCAATGAAATAGATAAGGATTTTTTAGATATTACTAAAGTGCATATTTTACTTTTTATCTCTTTGTTGACCAAAAACATATATATACGTTTTGAATAGATTCTAAATTGTAGGATAATCTATTTTTACTAAATGATAATAGTATTCTCTTTTTCAATTATGTTATCAATACCACATAGTATCATCATACATGTACATCAAGAGGAAACAAGAGACTTTTGGATCAGAGAGTACACGAAAATTTATGTAACTTTTTTACTCAGAGTCTTTTAGAACAACATGAAGCAAAAGCAGAATTTCGTAAAATGGGATAGAACCCGAGAGTCATTGTTGTCACAATTTTTGTATGTTATCAAAAAAAAACCCCTTGTCCCCAAGAGTTAACGAATGCCGTTGACAATTAAACCAAAGAATTCATTCAAACAAAACCTATTCTTACAATATAGATTCTGTATTCCAAGATGTCGTTTATAATAGGAAAAGATAATTTATTCAAACTAAATTTACCTGAGTGAATAAATAAAGAATGGAAAATCATTATAAATGATACTCAATAATTCATATTTCAAACTGATACGAAATAAAATCTATTATTTTTCAACGAACTGTTCGATTTTGATATAAATTCGAAGTTGTTTAGTGGTATATTTGTTCTTTGTGAATACTATCCATTGTCTTTTATTTGCATATTATTACAAACTTATTGTAAGAGATCTATGTTGTGTTAATGTTGGATATGTATTCTAATGATGAATAGAAAAGAATTTTCTTGAATACAAATAATTTTTCTATTGATAAGTTTTTTTTTCTTCGTTCATCGAGTTTTAATGTCGATTGATCATTGAGTTGTTCGATTAAGATTTAAGTTTTAAACTTTTACTGATTGATTCTTATTCTCGTTGACTAATTTTATTAAATAATAAATTTTGTTTGATTGCTCTATGGATGTTTAATAAATAAAATCACACATTAGTTCAATATCTTGTTTTTCTTCATTAAATTCATATCGATATTTAATTGAATCTTTCTGAAGAATATATAAATAAAAATCTTTCACAGTGAAAAGTTTCTTTTTCTTTTTTCATTCATAGAACATAAGTTATTCGAATCGATGTTGCCGATGATGAAACTATTTGTAGACTTTTTTAATGATAATCAACTAAATAAATTCTTGCTATAGAATTAATTTTCGCACAAAGTTTTAACTGCGAAGAATATGAACATGTAGATGATCATGTACATATTAATATCATAGAGAAAGATCACACTTATTCATTTTACTTTAATAAAACAAACGAAAAATCGATATGTTGATAGGCGATAGAAATTATCGTCAAAAGTAAAAAATAGAACAATATATTTAAGGTTTTTTGCCGCATAAAATAATTATTGTCTTGCTTTGTTTTTTTTTTTTAGTAATTCATTGTGAATTAAAGTCACATATAAAAACACATCTCTTTATGCAAATTTTAATTTAATATTGATTTGAGTATGAAATTTTTTCTAAGATTGAAAATCAATCACAAAACGTGTTTTTTTTTAAAGTTTGTATATTTTACGATCATCTTATTGAATTCATTATTTCGTTAAATGATTGAAAACAAATAAAATAAGATAAGGTTTTTTTAAAAAGTAAATTTCATTTGTTTTTTTTTTTAAATTATTTATTTATTCATCGAGTATCTATTTTGGACAATCGTCGGATCGATAAGATCTTAATCGGAGATAATTATCCAAATATTATATTTTCAAAAAGAATTATCAAACTCTATTGGTCTGCAACGAAACAATCAAGAAGTTGTTCTTATATTCAAAGATATAAATCAAAGTTGATAGATCTGATCATGTCAATAAAAAATTTATAGACTATAATAACTCTTCAAGTTTCTATCAAAACGAGAATAGTAGTATAGATTTTTTGTTGCGCTTGAAGCCGTTTTTTTTTCATTTAAAAAATCGTTACTAAACTAAAATATAAAGATTATAGTTGACAACTGATTGAATCTTGAAAATTCATGTACGAAAGCAAACGAAACTTGTAGATTCAGAAAAAAGCAAAAATAAATCAAGTTTTAATTAGACAAATTTAGAATCCGCACATGAGTATTAGGTGCATGAAGATTAAGATGAAGTTGCCATGGATATGGACATTTGTTAATATCAATCAACAATTCTATAGTACGATTCAATCGATCATTTTGAAGCAAAATTTTTTTTTGGTCACAGTCAATCAACAGTATGATAGTATCGTTTTGAACGATTCCGATGGTTTCTGCGTAGTTAACCTGATTAGTAACGCCGATATAGATTTCACCTTGGTTTGACCAGCCATAACTCGATCCTGAACAAAATGAATATGCCCGCATAGGTTCTGATTTTGAGATGATTCCAAAAAAGATCCATCCATTTGAAATTAATTGTTCGATTTGAAAAGAAAATTTATGTCTTCCAATATTATATTCATTTTTTCCGCATATTTCTGCCTGATCAGTTGAACCATCTTTGACAATAAGACAGCCATTCTCTTTTATTTGAGCATTACCACAAACACGTTCGAACACATCATATGTATCGTGATAGGCAATAAGAATCTTGGTAATAAGTGGTGTAGAATCTTCTAGAATAGCAACAGTTGTTGGATTATGAAGTTCTTTTTTTAGTTCTTCTAATTTTTGCGTCCATTGTTGTAGATCAGTCTCAATAAAGTCATTATCTTCTTGACCTTGTCGTAATTCATTAGATAAATTTTTTAGTTTTTGTTTAATATTAGTTGTACGTTCAATAGTAGTTTTGAGTAATTTATTTCTAGCCTCTTCTGCTGCTTGACGAATTTTGATGATAGATTCTTGTTCCCATTGATTAATTTTCTTTAATAGAGGATGTTGTTGAGGATCTTCGATTTGTTGAATAAGAGTTTGTTGTATAAGATCATGTGTTATAACAATTTCTTCTAATTGTTTACTCAATTCATTTCGATGATCATTTGAATGTTTTGGACAAAACATTTGTGAACATCCTTCACATTTAAAACTCCCTTTCCCCTTATTACATATAACACATAAGAGTTTGAATGATATTGTTGATGATGCCATATAGAGTTTTATGACAACGATCAGTGAAATAAAAGTAGAAAAAAGAATTTGATAAAATTTTCAACATACACCATTCTTTTGTCAACAAACAACACAATAATAAAGCACGTTGACGATGAAAAATGTGTGTTGATCTGAGCAAAATAGTCGACATAAGTGGTAGAGTAAAGAAAAACATCTTTTATGAATTTCACTATATAACGAAAACATTTGAGTTACTTTTGATATAATTAAATTTTTTGTATAAAAATAAGTATAAAAAACAAATACGATCGTCAAGAAAGTATTTATATGTTGAAATTTGAATTGAAATAAAAATGTTTAGCATATATTCAAGATAATACCGAGAAAAATTTTTCATTTCATAAAAGAATAAAGAAACGAATAAATACAAACATAAAATCAACGCTGAATTTGAATTTGTTCTACCTTGATTAGTCTCATTATTGTCCTTTGTAAGATGAGACTAGTTAACATCAAGGGAGAAAAAGCGAGACTTTCGGAGCACGGAAGTCTCACTTTTTTCACTTTAGTTAATATCCATTTCAAAAAAGAAAAGTCATGAGAGTTTTTTGAATAACTTTTAAGATAAATACGATAGAGATCTGCGATTTTCATGGTTCGATGCATCTTTATCTCTTATTTTCAACAGTGAAAATCGCAAGTCTCTATTTTGTTTCTATCAAAAGTTATTCGAAAAAACACTCACGGCTTTTTTTTTGGAAATAGATATTAGTATGTAGAAAAAAATTCTGGTCTATTAATATAGAAATTGGAAGATTTTTTTTTTCTTTGATTTTTCAAACGACACGATCAAATTCAAAAGAAAACATATTCTATTGTAATTTTGATCAATAGATTGAAGAAGAAATATTTTTATATTTTCGAACATATATCAACAAAATTAATATTTCACTTTTGTCGAATAGAACTAAGAGCGTTTCTTATTTGTAGAATCATAGTATAACTTATCGAAGAAGAATATGAACATGTGTACGTGGTGATAGATATATCAATATAATGCAGAAAGAGCAGATTTGCTCAATCTACTTGAATAAAACAAAGAGAAAATCGATAAGTTGATGAACGAGAGCAATTATCGTTTGAAGTTTTCATCATTTAAAATAATTATCATCTAGTTTCATTTTCTTATAGTAATTCGTCCTGAAATGAAATAACATGTAAAGATAGGTCTCTTTTGAAATCATGCAAATTTTTATTTAATATTTATTCGAATAAAAGTTTTTTTTTTAAGATTAACAACTCACCGCAAAATATTATTACTTTTGAGCTCGCATAGTTTAATACATTAAATTTTGATTATTTTGTTAAATTTATTATTTTATTTAATAATTGAAAACAAATAGAATAAAAGAAGTTTTTTGGGTTAAATGTCAAATGTACGATCTTTTTGCTTTTTCATCTAAGAATAACAAGATTCTGTATTAAATGATGATCTAACGATGAAAAAAATCTGAATTTCATTTCTTTTCTAAAATATTTATTTATCGAAAATCTCTAATGACAATTGTTCGTTCGATAAGATCTTTATGGAAGATAATCATTTGAATATTATATTTTCAAAAAAATTATCAAACAATATCGATCTAGAAAAAAAAACAATCGATATGTTGTTCTTATATACAAAGACATAAATGCAAGTTGATAGTTTTGATTATCTTATCAGAAAAAATTAACAAACTTACAAACCATGAAATATCTTTAACTTTCTATGAGAGTCAGGATCAGAGTTTATTTTCTTTAAAAACATTTTTTGTTACATTTTATTACAATCTTTTTCATTAAGAACTTGGTTACAAAAGTGAAATATTGAGATTATAATTGAGAACTTATTTCGTCTTGAAACTCATGTATCAAGGCAAACCAAAGTCGGAAATTAGAAAAAATTTCAGAGGAAAGAGAAAAAATTGAGTTTTAATTAGACGAATTTAGAATTCGCACATGAGTATTAGCTTAATAAAGATTGAGATGAAATTGTCATGAAAATGAACATTTGTTGATATCAATCAATAACTCTATAGTACGATTCAATCGATCATTTCGAAGTGCTATTTTTTTTTTGGTCACAGTCAATCAACAGTATGATAGTATCATTTTGAATGATTTTTATGGTTTCTCCGTGCTCTTCCTGATTAGCGACACCAACATAGATTTGATTTCTGCTTGACCAGCCATAACTCGACTGTAAATAAAAGGAATTGCATTGCATAGGTTCTGATTTTGAGATGATTCCAAAAAAAGATCCATTCATTTGAAGTTATTTGTTCGATTCAAAAAGAAAATTTGTGTATTCCAGTGTTATATTCATTCTTTCCACGTATTTCTGTGTGGCCACCTGAATCATCTTTTACAACAAGACACCCATTCTCTCTTATTTGAGCATTACCATAAACACGTTCGAACACATCATATGTATCGTGATAGGCAATAAGAATTTTGATAATAACTAGTGTAGAATTTTCGTGTTGTGTAAATTATGCTCACGAATGTAAATGCGTGTGATTAAGGTGAACTTGTACTAATTAACGAAGAATAGTAAAACAAAAGGAGAGTATCTCTTTGAAGAATTTTCATAAGTATATATTAGTCAGTGTTAATGTATAGTTAAAGTATATATTCGAAGTCAAGCACGGGGATGTAGCTCATATGGTAGAGCGCTCGCTTAGCATGCGAGAGGTATTGGGATCGATGCCCAACTTCTCCACTTTTTCTTATTTTAATTCAATTTTTATCATTTCTATATTAAGTTGAAGACAGTATCATATTCAATTATATTGCTATAGAAAATATGTTTTATCTTTTTGTCTTTTCTTTTATTTAACATTTTTTGCAAACATTGATTAAATCGCTTTTTTAAAAGAGAATGAATTTTCGAAAAAAGACTTTTTTAAATTTTTTCTCACGTAACGATTAAATTTAAAAGTTCAAGAAAAAGAATATTTTCTGTAACTATCCAGTTGAATATGATATTATTTTCAACTTAGTATAGCAATGATAAAAATTGAATTAAAATGAGAAAAAGTGGAGAAGTTGGGCATCGATCCCAATACCTCTCGCATGCTAAGCGAGCGCTCTACCATATGAGCTACATCCCCGTGCTTGACTTCGAATATATACTTTAACTATACATTAACATTGGCTGAAATAAGTTAATGTACAAGGTTATTTTGTTTTATTATTCTTTGTTAATTTTTAATATTAACGTGACTCATAATTTGTATATTTATATGAAACAAATTCTCGGTGGATAGATTATAAATATTATTCTATGAAATTAAGTTGATTCTCTTTTATCAAACTGGTTGCATCCACTATTAGATGGATGAAGAAGATTCTTTAGTATTTTTTTAATATTGTCAATTATTTTCTGTTAAATTTTATAAGAGAAAAAAAATCTAAGAAAGATTCTTTTTTTATTTACTACTGAGATTCGATTAAATTTATAAAATTAATTTGAATGGAAATCTTCTCTTTTGTCCGTTTGTTATTCTTCATAATAATAATAGAATTTGTTTCCAGAAACAAAAAAATTCTTCATTGTAGAAGTTAACTATATCTTTTTTCTTTTATACTTATATGAAACATTTGCTTTGGAAAAAAAACCTGTTAATAGAATATTTGATTGATTCAAATCTGAGCTTCATTCTCATATCTGAACAGGCCCACATAATAAAATAAATTGAATAATCTATCTTAAAAATTTGACATGTACTTTTTTTGTTAGGGTGATTTTACACGTACAGGTCGTCGTGATATAAAAGGTGTTTTAGCTGATGGAAAAATCTCAGCAAATCGTTATTATCGTCGATTTAAAAAGGATACTTTGCGACAACAATGTTATGATGCAATGCAAAAACAAAAATCATCAACTATGGAAACAAATAAAGATGTCATAACAAGAGTTAATTCTGATTTTGTTGACATTCCAATGGAAGTAGTAAGATTTTCTATTTGAATTTTCGTATATGAATATCAAAGAAATTTTATTTTTTTAGGTAACAAATCGTGAAGATATTTTAAGACAAATGATACTTGATTGTCGAAAAATGTTTGTTTGTGAAGAAACTGAAGATTGTTTTGGTACTTGGCCTCTTATTAATGATAGTGAATTAAATGAGTAAACATTTTAGTTTTTATTTTACTTCAAAAATATTGATGCAAAAAAAAAACAACCAGTTGAAAAGTCAGATTAAGGTCATCCTCTCAAAAAAAGTCGCTTTTCGTCAGAATAATGAAAATTAAGATAGATGCAGGAAAAGATAGCTCGTGATCTGATCTCTCATAATTCGAAAAATAAGCTGTTTTTGAAAAAGAAACCAAAAATCTTTTTCGTTTTTTTCTCGTTTTATAGGTTTTCGATCGTATCTTCAAGAATTCTCGAAAGAACTTTATTGTAGCCAATGACTTTCTTTTTTGTTTGAAAACTCGTCTTTAGGATTAGTCACTCTCGTGATCCTTTTTTTATTATCATATAAGAAAAACCTCTATAGAAACAGTGCCATGTTTTAGGGATTTTTTTTACGTCATTGAACTTGTGATTCCTTCTTTCCGCTTAAAAAGAAAATAAAAGGAATCTGTAATGCCATCACTTAGTTCACTTTGTTTGTTTAAAAATTACTTCTCGGACAATAAAAAGTATCTTCGTACTGTTATTTTGTTGATGAAAAGTCATTAGTCATTCTATTTATTGTTTTCTTCTAAAAGTAAATCTTATTCATCATTTTCCTTATATTGTTCTTTCAATATCGGTGCTCGGGACATGGGGATATTGAACGATTGGTTGACATGAAATTGAGAGCATTTGAGCTATTTGTTTCTATAGAATAGACGCTTTTTTCGAGCTGCGAATAGAGTCCATCGGGCCCAAGAATTTTTGGACCCGGACTCGGTTCATTAAAATTCGTTGGATCCGAATCCGACTCGGACCCGAACTTTAGCAGTAAAAGTTTAAAAATCTGGGCCCGGACCCGACGGACTCT